TTGATTATCAGACAAAAAGCAAAAAAAATGAAAAAAATGCAAAATTTGGCAAAAAAAATGTCTGCGACAAATTTTCGAATTTTGAAATTTTGAAACTGCTATTCTTTCAGATTTAAACAGTAGATTCCAAAAATGCAAACCCAAAGAAAATCGACCCAAAAATACGACTTCTAGAGCCGATTATCTATTCTTGCACATATTGAACTGTGGCACTTCCGGTTTTGCAAAAAAGATCCAAAATATATATATGCACATCGTCGCCTATATCTAAGGTTCGTGAACGTTGAAAGGTTGCTGCAACTATTGTAGTCTAAGCTCAGGAAGGTGTGTAAATTTCGAAAAAAAAAAAAAAAAAAAAAAAAAAAAAAAAAAAAAAAGAATTGACATTTCGATAACAAACTGGGACTTTGCCGTAGCAAAGTCCCACAATAATTGGATCACGTCCAAACTCACGCAATTCGGAATGATGATGATAAATTAAAATTTGTTCGCCCTTTTTAGATCCTATACCAAGTCTTATGAAAGTCGATTGAAAACTGAAGAAACAATCATATTTTAACTATGCGAGAGGCCACAGTTTTTGTCCGATTTTATTTAATATTTGGTGTGTAGGCTTATATCCAAAAGATAAAAATAAGTTAAAAATTGGCAATAGTTTTTGTCAGGATTTAATAAAATTTGGATTGCATGACTCGGACAAGTTAGAATTTGGATAGGATTCGACACATATTGATGGAGTTGTCAAAAACGGTATGTTATAGAGCGTTTCAGTGGAAATCGAAAGAACGGACAAACAGGTATACAAATATGTGCTAGCTTCACAAAAACAGTAAGTCTGAAATGTGACTGAATCTTTTTTCCAAAAATAAATGAGTTTCTGTTAAAACCCAATTGGCTGTAATAATTCCCAAGTTCACGTGGGCGTATAAAAATGGTCAATTTTATCTTACTCTTAATACTATTAAAATTATATGCTTTCATTTTTTATATTTTCTTATTCCATTGAGATGGCTGATTTTTGTGATTTATTTTCATCAAAAATCGAGAAAAACGATATTGAATTTCATCGCGTCAAAAACGTGCTTAGTTTTGTTTTGTTTAAAAAAACACAGATTTTTTCGACATTATTCATTTTCTCTGCCTGTCTGTCTATCTATCTATGAATGAATGATAGAGGAAGTTAGAAATAAGAAGGAAGAGAGTATCCCTACACTAGATAGAACTTCTGACAGACCAGAATAAGTCCATGTTCCTTCATACCACAATCATAAAGATTAATCCTCAATACCAATATAATTTAGTTTGTCTTGTAGAAAAGTGTTAATTTGGATTCTAAAATAAGAGTTTTATGAAACAGACTGAATATCTCCAAGAAACACCCACGAAACAACAGATGGTCAAGTGTAGTGACCATACTTTAATGTAACAGTAGATACAAGGGGGTACCATTTTCTTATGTGTAAGGCTTAGTAGTGAGGACAGTTAAGTGGTTGAAGGGAGGTAACTCTGTTTAGTAAAAGTTACAAGTGCCTGTGTTTCAAAAGGTGACTAATGCCTGTGTGCAAGGGCAAGTCACTCTTATGACAGGAAGTTCTCTTCCATGTGCTCCTCAATGTTGATAAAGCCTATGAAATACCTAAGTTTTGTTTCTCTCCTCCCACAGGTATTATTTTGCTATAAAAGACCAATTATGTTGCTGTCAATCTATAAGACATAGGCTTACTACACCATGTCAGTGTTTTAGGCCTTTGCCTCTGAAAATCTTTTATTTTCTATTAGTATCACACACTTTGGATGGCCCGGTGCGGTAGGCCACTCCACGTGGTAATGGGAAACCCTTATTCATTGCGCCTTTGCATTGTTCTCTCATGTAATATAAGTTTACACAAGTTGATGTTCGTAAGACATGTTGTATATTAGTTTGTAGACTCTTATGACAGGAAGTTCTCTTCCATGTGCTCCTCAATGTTGATAAAGCCTATGAAATACCTAAGTTTTGTTTCTCTCCTCCCAGATCCTGTAGAAGGTAGTACGACATTTTGTGTCTGTTGTTAACAGAGCTGTAGAAAGGGGTGTTGGTTCCAGTTGCACCATGTTATAGTGCCAGTATATGAACCCTTTCCTTGTGCTCTCCAGAAGTGTCTACCAGGCTTAGTTGTGCTGCATCGTATAATCCTGAGGTCCACCGTTGTACCGTCTTTAAAGCTGAACTTTAGGCTTAACTGAGTTACCCAGTGTTGTCATTATTTCTCATTCTCTGTGTGTCAGTCATCACGTTGGCTAATCTGGTTGTTTTACTACTCACACTTCTCTGTTTTCACCTTCTTGGTGCAGAGAGGTGTAACATTTGGGGGCTTGTCGGGATCCAGATATTTTCCCAAACTCAATGGCTTATAGTATTGAAGAGAAACTTTTTGAGGCAAAGGCTCGCCTGTTTCAAATGCCTTTCGACACTATGGTACAGACATTGACGTTGTTAAAAATTGACATTGATAAAAGTGTTAAGACTCGTAGTCAGGCTATCAAGGCTTTTGATGTTGTCTGGTCAAATTCTGATGAATTAGAGGAAAATTTGCTCCGATTGACTAAAATATTTACTGACATTGATAGTGAAACCAGTACTAAAACTGACACCAGTACTAAAACTGACAATAAACCTATTTTGTCCGATCCAGTGAATTCTTATATTGACATTGGCAAGAAACCTAATATAGAAATATGGAAACGCGAGTTGAAAATACAAGGACAAATAAAATCTCTGTCTTTTCTCAGTTTGTCTCGACAAATCGATGTCGCCGCTCAAAAAAACTACTCTGAAGATGAAATTGTTGAGGCTGTGATTAAAGCTACCACACCTGGTGGTACCCTTCGTAATTATTTGGAAGGCCGTTCTAATTTGACACTTTCTGAACTCAAATCTATTCTTTGTGCTCAATACAATGAAAAATCAGGAACTGAACTTTTCAATACTTTGAGTAATGCTACACAAGATGACGGTGAGACAGCAATCGACTTCCTCATGCGATGTATGGATTTGCGTCAGAAGGTACTGTTTGCATCAACACAACAGGGTAGTGTTCCATATGAACCAGTTCTGGTGAACTCAATGTTCAAGAGGACTGTCTTAACTGGGTTTCGAAATGATACGATTCGAATGGAAATGAAAAACTCTCTAGACCGGGAGAATATTCCTGATGATGTCTTGATACGTGAATTAACATTTGTTGAACAGAAAGTAAATGAACGAGAAACTAAGCTCCAGACAGCAAAGAAGGTTAAAGTTAAATCACAAAGAACAGAAGAATGTGCTCTTTCATTTGAATTAAAAACTCTAAAAGCTGAAGTAGCTGCATTAACTGAGGCTTTAAATAATCCAAAAGGGTTTAGGAAGAGGCAAATGGGCTGTGCATCTTGTCTCGACTCTGGCAAGGGTCATCTATGTCGACACTGTTGGACATGTGGCAGTTCAGAACATAGACGCAACTTTCATAAGAAACAGTCGGAAAACTGAACAGGGTCACTGGACAGGGGGGCCATGTGAATAACATTGTAAATTCCCCTGATTTGTCCCCTCAAACTCAGCAACTAATACTTAATAGAATAACTGAACTACAGAATCCATATGTTAGTAGTACAGTTGATGAGTTGAAGGGTCGGGTCCTTAGTTTAACTCCAAAAGTACGGCATAAATTAGTTAATTTAATTGGTGATGTTTGCCATGTTGATTGTTTGTTAAATGACATTTCAGTAAGAGACAAGTGTGCTTAATGAGTAAGAGCTTTTTAGCCAAACATTTGCCTATGGTTAGCAAAAGTATTCGCCCTGTAACGGAATTGTTAAATTCTGGTGAGAAGTTTAGACTTTTAGCTGCCAATGGGTCAAATATCCCTTTTGAAGGGTGGGTAGCATTAAAACTAGAGCTGAATAAAAACACACTTACTGTTCCTTTTTTAATAACTGAAGGTGAAGTTGAAGATGAGCCTATTGATTGTCTCATATTAGGGTTTAATGTTATTAAGTATTGTTGTGAAAATTTTAATGAATCATTATCCAATGCCTTACCTCATTTAAATGCCAAAACCGTTAGTAATGTTGTTAAATTGTTGAAATCTGATTATGCCATTTGTAATGTAAATAGTGGTCATCGAAATGTTATCATTCCAGGTAAAAGCTCTAAATTGATAAATGTTCCAATCAGAACTGGGGTAAATAATGAAAAGTCATCACTCACGTGTTTGTTTATACCAGACATGCTTTACTCCTCTCAGCAAGAGTTAGAACTGAACTTCTGTTGACAGTAGGGAAGCAAAAACATGTTAATCTGCTGGTTAAAAATCTGTCGTGTTCGGACATGTCTTGCGTAAGAAGACAAATATTGGCTCTTTACAAACAATTTGCTCATGCATCGAATCTCACTCACCATTAGAAGGTAAAGATTTACATAAAGATACCCACATTCTGGATGATGATATTAGGGAATCATCTGTAGACCTTAGCAACTTAAATGGTAAGGAACAATCCACTGTCAAGAGTTTGTTATAAAGACACTGTGATGTTTTCTCTAAAAATGATGATGACATTGGTTTTGTGCCAGATTTGAAATTGGACATACAGCTCACCGACCAACTTCCAGTAAAACAGTCATACATATCCATCCCAGCACCTTTATTAGATGAAGTAAAAGATCATGTTAACAACCTTATTTCAAAGGGTTTTATACGGAAATCAAAATCGCAATATTCGAGTCCTTTGGTTTGTGTACGTAAGAAAAGTGGTGATCTAAGACTGTGTGTAGATTACAGGAAGATAAACAAGAAGACTATCACAGACTGCAGTCCTTTACCTAGGATTCAAGATGCACTAGATAATTTGGGAGGAAGTTGTTACTTTTCACTTTTAGACCGAGGTCAAGCTTATCATCAAGGGGTAATGGGTGAAGACATTAAGCCATACACCGCCTTTGTAACGCCTTGGAGACACTACTCTTGGGAACGAATTCCGTTTGGTTTGTCTGGTGCACCTGCTGCGTTCCAAGCCTTCATGAATGACTGTCTTGAAGGACTAATGGATAAGTGTTGTCTCCCTTATTTGGATGACATTCTTGTTTATAGCAAAAGCTTTTCTGAACATGTGAAACATTTTGAACTTGTTTTTGATAGAGTTAAGAAAAAGGGTATTAAGCTTAAGCCCAAAAAGTGTCTTTTGTTTCGTTCAGAAATAAGGTATCTTGGACAACTAGTGACTGCTAATGGTTATACTGTAGATCCAGAAGATAAAGCTGCTGTGTTGAAGCTGAAAGAAACTGTTCCTAAGAATATTGGTGATGTCAGAAAGTGACTTGGATTCCTGAGCTACTACAGGAGATATATACCTGAATTTGCAAGAAGAGCATGACCTCTCTACGACCTGTTATCTGTCAAAACGAAGAACTCAAAGAAAAAACTTAAAGGTGGTCAAATATCATCTAGGGAAGGCGTTGATTGGAGTTCTAATCACCAGGGTGTCTTGAATGAGCTGAAAGGTTTTTTAGTAACACCACCGGTTATGGCATACCCTTGTTTTGACAAGACGTTTTCTCTACACGTTGATGCTCTGAAGGTTTAGGAGCCATCCTCTACCAAGATGATGATATGGGAAAACCTCGTGTTGTAGCATATGCGTCCAGAAGTTTATCACCAGCAGAGAAGAATTATCATCTTCATTCTGGAAAACTTGAGTTTTTAGCTCTCAAGTGGGCCGTTGTAGACAGATTTAGGGACTATCTGTACTATTGTCCACACTTCACAGTATTCAGCGACAATAGTCCCCTCAGTTATATCATGACCACACCAAAACTGGATGCTGCTCGTTTAAGATGGGTTGCTGAACTAGCTGATTTCAACTTCTCCATCCGTTATAAACCTGGGAAGTTGAACAGTGATGCAGATGGATTGAGTCGGATGCCACTAGATTTCGAAAAGTATCGAAGTCAGTGTTCCGAAGAAACCAGTCAGGATGTCTTTGCCAGTGTAACTAGGAGTTTAACAGCTCAAGATGAGAAGAATTTTGTATGGTGTGCAAATAACAGATACACAAGTACCAAATCAGAATTAAATGGTTACGACAAATTTAGAATCTTCAGTCGAGAAGAGTTAGTAACTGCTCAACAGGAGGATGAACATATCAGCCACGTGAGAGGATTGGTATTAAATGGTTGTAAACCCACAGTAGATGATAGATCCCGTTGTTCAGGTGAAGGTATTAGACTTCTGCGTGAATGGTCAAGATTACAAGTTGATCAGCATGGGTTGTTGAGAAGATTGAGAACAGTAAATGGTGAAAGACTCCATCAGTTTGTGCTTCCAAAGAAGTATCGGAAATTGGTGTTGCAGCAGCTTCACAATGACATGGGTCACCATGGTCAAGAAAAGGTGTTGTCTCTCATTCAGACTAGATTCTTTTGGCCCAATATGTCTGCTGATGTTGAACATTATGTAACCAGAATGTGTTCCTGTGTTCGGGACAAAGGTCCAAGTCGCAAAATTTTGCTCCTATGAAACCCATCAAAACCTTTTCAGATGGTATCCATTGACTTTCTTCACCTTGAGACATGTAAAGGAGGATATCAATATATACTACTGGTTGTGGATCACTTCACTCGCTATGCTGTTGCATATCCCACCACCAACAAATCTGGACGTACCGCAGCTGATAAAGTCTTCAATGATTATGTCCTGAAATTTGGTTATCCAGAGAAGTTACACCACGATCAAGGTCGTGAGTTTGAAAACGATTTCTTCAACCGACTTCAGAAATACAGCGGAATCAAGCATTCGCGTACCACACCATACCACCCTGAAGGAAATGGTCAGGTGGAACGACTTAATAGAACTTTGCTCTCGATGCTAAGGACTCTGCCAGAAGACTTTAAGTCCGATTGGAAGAATCATGTATCAAAGATGCTGCATGCCTATAATTCTGAATATAATAATGAATCGACAGGCTATTCTCCACACTTTCTGTTATTCGGTCGACATCCAAGACTCCCAGTAGATCTAATGTTCAGCCTAGATGAACCTCAAAAGCATCAAAGTTATAAAGACTATGTTGATAGATGGTCCGAGTGTATGCGTGAAGCCTACAAGAAAGCAGCAGAAAGTGCCCTAAAATCCAGTAGCCGTGGTAAGACCAGAAGAGATCAGAAACCACAAAGTGCTGTACTTCTTTCTGGAGATCGAGTTCTAGTCCGTAACTTGAGTGAACGAGGTGGTCCAGGAAAGTTACGTTCGTACTGGGAGAAAGACGTTCATATCGTAGTTAAGCGGATGGAAGATTCGCCAGTTTATGAAGTGAAGCCAGAGAGCAATAAAGGGAAAATTCGACGTCTACATCGAAATCTTCTTTTGCAATGTAATGACTTGCCAGTCGAAGAAGTAAAGCATCCCAATCCTTCAAAACCAGTTTATCGATACGATCGTTCTAAATCTCGAAGAGAATCTAGCAGTGTATCATCGTCAAAGTCTAGTGATGACATATTGGTCATACAACAGGGATCAAGCAATCAGGATAGGCAGTTAAATCCAGAGGCAGAATCTTATACTCCATTGGTAGCTAACGAAGATTGTACAAACCCACCGTTTGATCGCAGGCTTGATGAAGTTCCTCCAGAGGCAGCTGATGGAGTTGCAGATCAAGATGGAAGATCTGGTGGGAATTTATCTCAAGAAGAAGATGAAAGACCTAATGGAGATTCATCTCAAGATGATGAAAGACCTAATGGAGATTCATCTCAGGAAGAAGATGAAAGACCTATATATGGAGATTCATCTCAAGATGATGAAAGACCTAATGGAGATTCATCTCAGGAAGAAGATGAAAGACCTATATATGGAGATTCATCTCAAGATGATGAAAGACCTAATTTTAGATTCATCTCAGGAAGAAGATGAAAGACCTATATATGGAGATTCATCTCAAGAAGATGAAAGACCTATAAATGGAGATTCATCTCAAGAAGATGAAAGATCTAATGGAGATTCATTTTTGATATGATTAGTTTAAAATATTTAGTTGTAAAACTGAAAATAGGTGTAAGACAAGGTCAAGTTGCATTAGTTAATGTTAAGAGTAACCGGATATTCATATCTTAATTGTAATTAAGTATCTACATTTGTCCAGACTGATCACCTGTGACAAGTATAGCAAAGGTATCTGCAGGTACCAGGAATCATCTTGTTATGTTACTTAGTTGGACCTGAAGCATCACGCTTCCCTATTAGTTAAGGGTTTTTGTTAATGTTCCTAATGTCGAAGACGACATTTATGTTGTGGGGGAGAGTGTAACAGTAGACACAAGGGGGTACCATTTTCTTATGTTTAAGGCTTAGTAGTGAGGACAGTTAAGTGGTTGAAGGGAGGTAACTCTGTTTAGTAAAAGTTACAAGTGCCTGTGTTTCAAAAGGTGACTAATGCCTGTGTGCAAGGGCAAGTCACTCTTATGACAGGAAGTTCTCTTCCATGTGCTCCTCAATGTTGATAAAGCCTATGAAATACCTAAGTTTTGTTTCTCTCCTCCCACAGGTATTATTTTGCTATAAAAGGCCAATTATGTTGCTGTCAATCTATAAGACATAGGTTTACTACACTATGTCAGTGTTTTAGGCCTTTGCCTCTGAAAATCTTTTATTTTCTATTAGTATCACACACTTTGGATGGCCCGGTGCGGTAGGCCACTCCACGTGGTAATGGGAAACCCTTATTCATTGCGCCTTTGCATTGTTCTCTCATGTAATATAAGTTTACACAAGTTGATGTTCGTAAGACATGTTGTATATTAGTTTGTAGACTCTTATGACAGGAAGTTCTCTTCCATGTGATCCTCAATGTTGATAAAGCCTATGAAATACCTAAGTTTTGTTTCTCTCCTCCCAAAGATGATCATGTAGAAGGTAGTACGACATTGTTTGTCTGTTGTTAACAGAGCTGTAGAAAGGGGTGTTGGTTCCAGTTGCACCATGTTATAGTGCCAGTATATGAACCCTTTCCTTGTGCTCTCCAGAAGTGTCTACCAGGCTTAGTTGTGCTGCATCGTATAATCCTGAGGTCCGCCGTTGTACCGTCTATAAAGCTGAACTTTAGGCTTAACTGAGTTACCCAGTGTTGTCATTATTTCTCATTCTCTGTGTACCAGTCATCACGTTGGCTAATCTGGTTGTTTTACTACTCACACTTCTCTGTTTTCACCTTCTTGGTGCAGAGAGGTGTAACAATTGCACGAAGTTTATTTTAATACAGTAACAGCTTTATTGTTCTAGCTGCCAAAATAAATGATGAATATAAGATAATTTATAATGTGTAACCAAAGTAACCAAAGTATCCAAGATATAAACTAAGTTGTCTATTCCATTCCGGGAATTTAGATACGAACCTCTAAAAACAGCTTTGTGTTAATTTCAACTTTCGGGCACGAATACAGTGGGATTAGATGCTGTCAATTAGGATTTGAAGAAGCTCAATTTTCAGGAGTACGTCCAAGGTAAGAGAACCTTAAGGGAGGTGTACAGCTTTCAGAGTCACTTCCTAGGTAGTGGTACCACTTGCTAACCATCGATAAATGATGTTGCTTACTTCAAGGCCATGAGGCCATATTGACCATCTCTAGATGCCAAGACCCGGAGCTCCTATGTCTCTTTTGGGCTTTATTATTGTTATTTTATGATCCTTATAGACTGCCCAAGATATCATAGACTAAGACCTAGTCCACACACCTGCAAATGCACAGGTTATCAATTATGTTAGTCATTAGTTTTTTTTTACTTCGCAGATAGAATTGTAAACATTGTATCTGATTACACTCTGATTAAAGATTACATGTACCAGGTGCATCTCTAGATGAAGTTGGTTATAGGATAATTTTATATACACCTCTTATAGGTTTGTCATTTAATTGAATTATACGGAGATCGTAAAAGCAGGGTTAAAGCGTTATGGTGGCAAAATTCATAAAATGTAACTCGAAATATTAAAACAGAACCTAAAATGATATGTTGTTGTTGCTATATGATATGTATAATATATTGGGTGTGGGATATGTATAATTGTATTGTTTTGGGATATGTATAATGTATTGGGTATGTGATATGTATAATGTATTGGGTGTGGGATATGTATAATTGTATTGTTTTGGGATATGTATAATGTATTGGGTATGTGATATGTATAATGTATTGGGTGTGGGATATGTATAATTGTATTGTTTTGGGATATGTATAATGTATTGGGTATGGGATATGTATAATGTATTGGGTGTGGGATATGTATAATTGTATTGTTTTGGGATATGTATAATGTATTGGGTATGTGATATGTATAATGTATTGGGTGTGGGATATGTATAATTGTATTGTTTTGGGATATGTATAATGTATTGGGTATGTGATATGTATAATGTATTGGGTGTGGGATATGTATAATTGTATTGTTTTGGGATATGTATAATGTATTGGGTTTGTGATATGTATAATGTATTGGGTTTGTGATATGTATAATGTATTGGGTTTGTGATATGTATAATGTATTGGGTGTGGGATATGTATAATGTATTGGGTTTGTGATATGTATAATGTATTGGGTTTGTGATATGTATAATGTATTGGGTTTGTGATATGTATAATGAATTGGGTTTGGGATATGTTTAATGTAGAATTGAAGATAGTAAAATTCAAATCTTACCTGACTGTTATATACAGTCCAATATATTCGAGTTAGAAACAGTTGGTTGGTAGATGACAAGTGGTGATCACAGTTTTGAATCACTGGAAATAAAAATATGCTTTTTTTATTTCTAAATCTAACATCAAAAGTAGAAATATTCTGCTCTTTGAATATGTTTTGGGAAATTAAAAGCTTCATTTTCCACTATTCCAAAAAATTTCTCTAGTAACAGCACCGGAATAAGACATATCCATCAAACACAACGTTTTATGTCTCACTGTTCTACACCTGATTAGCTTTGCATGTTCACTAAATACTTTGATGTAGTCTGAGATGAGAATCCATGGCCAACATTTACTAGTTATCATAATAATTGTCTGAATTCGAACTTTAAATTGGCTATGTTCTATACGGAATGATTCAAGAAAGTAAAATTTCGTTTGGTTGCGTATGGTATTGTTCTAGTTCAAGACGAGGTTTGGACCATGCAATAACGTGATTTTATCACGCCAGGTATCACATCAAGATAGCCTTTACTGAAAAAGAAAATAATGCCTCAAATAATAAGAATAAGAGAA